GAATTGTTTATGGGAAATGGGGATAATGTATCTGTCTCTATAATCTTATATATCTTTATCTATAATGTTGAGTTATTTATATATCTATCACTTGGGGAAATCTCTCTATGATGTGATGTGAAGAGATAGAGAGGGCAATGTGCGAGTGCGAGAGGTGGGGGGGAGGAGGGAGAGACACATGTGCGTTATGAGAGTGTAAGGTGAAGGGAATTCGACTGTGTTTGGAGGTTGGGATGAAAGTATAGTGTTTTATGGGGGGGGGGGGGGGGCTGAAGAGGGGGGGGTTGGGGGTGGGTGGGTGTTGGTGATATGTTAGTGTTTTATATATACTTATCTAGTTAGATCACGTGGGTGCGAAATTTCTTGAATATCACTATCTCTCACTATGAGGGGTCGATCACACAATTAGTGTATGCGGGGGCTACTCTACTGGTAGAATGTAGGAATATAAGGGGGAATTGATTGGATAGCAGAAAGATAAATGGTCTATTTTTTGGTGAAAAGGGTAATGTTGGTTTTCATGAGATTGAGGATTGGTGTATTAGTATATATGGGTCTTGTTGTATTAGCAATAGGGTATATTGTAGATCTATATATATCTCTCTAACAGTGAGTAGAAGAGGAATGGTGCGAGGAGATATCTAAAAGAAGTTCTGTGGTGCTCACAAAGTCTCTCAGTGAACAGAGACGAGGGACATATATGGGATAGGAGAGGGTCGAGACAACACAACAGGGAAGGAGAAGAACATATCTAAGATGCGCTATGCGAGCGCAATGAGATGTGAGTGTTAAAGGGGAGAGAACAGAAGACAAGGGTTGAAAATAGAAGAGTTGTATACATCTAATCTCTCTGTGAATCTACATCTCTCTCTGAATAAAGGATTAGAGAGAAAAGATGAGTCGTTTATATGAGACGAGGGTTTAATAAGTGTAGGCAGTATTGAGGGGGTGTAAGGTGAAAGAAGTCTAATGCGCGTTGATAAGGTAGCGAGTGAAAAAAAAATTACAAATTGCAGAAAACAACACACGGGGGTGCAAGACGGGGGAATATTGGTAAATGATAAAGAAGAGAAAATAATGGGGGGGGGCGGCGGAGGGAATAATTATTATATTATATAATATTCTAACACTTATATAAGATGAGATAAATTTGGGGGGAGATGGGGGGGGGGTGACGAGTATATGCATCTAATAGAAAGATTGTTTTTGAGGGTGGGTGGATAGAGTGTTGTCGTATCGATATTGAGGGTGTGAGTGTGGATTTGTTGTGTGTTGTATTTAAAGAGTGGAGTGGGGGAGGTGTGCGATGGATAATTATGGGTGATAGATGATGTAGAGTAAATAAGAGAGTGTGTATGAGTTAATTGAAGATATAAAAGGGTGAGGGGAGTATATTCCTCTCTATTGGTATCTCTATATATATATGGGTGAAGAGTGAGAGGGTGGGGAAATAAGGTCTTATATGGATATCCTGATGATGTAGAGATAGAGTATGGGAGAGGGGGGTGTGGTTTTATCTTTGAAGAAAGTTTTTGTGCGCGAGAGCGTGTGTTTGGACTAGAGTTCTATGTATGGTGGTATTTGAGAGAGTTTTCTCATGAGTGTTTTTGTGTTTCTGTTATTTATATTTTTGGAGATTTGTTTCAAATGTGGATCTTTTTTTGTTGGTGTTATAGTTTATTATGTGGTTTGTTCTTTTATAAAAGGTATCTGGTTTGTTAGATTTTTCTTTTTGTTGTTTTTTGAGCTTTTTTTGCTCTATATAGGTGTTTGTGAGGATTTGTTATAATCTCTACATATTCTCTATATATATATATATGATGTAATATTTTTTTCTTGGCTGGAGCGAGAGATTATCTTTCTCTTTATTCTCTCTCTCACTCTCTCTTAGAGAGTTTGTATTAATTTGTGAGTATTTTGTATGTGTATATTTTGTGGTATGGGGGGTAATAAGGGGGGGGGGGTTTAATTATTATATAATAAAAATAAAATAAAAAATTTTAAAAAGTATAAATAATAGGTCTTAAAAGTACATAAATTAAAGGGAGTTAAATTAAATAAAAAATTTGGTTTTTAGGGGGCTTAACCCCCCTCACTCATTCCTCTCCAGCGCACGGGGGCATCCTCGTTGCTCCTCGGGGATGCTGGGTACACTTGAGGCTCAGGACCTTTGCACATGCTGTGCCTCCCCCTCCCCCCACGCCTCGGTTGCCCCTTCACCTCCTCCAGGTCTCCACCTTCACGCCGCCTTCTCGGTGCCCTCTCTGCCCTCTACTTTTCTCCATGGGGCTCCTTGGCCTTCTAAGGTGACGTAAAAGGTGCTAAGGTGCTTGCCTCTCTCAGGAGCCTCGAGTGCCATCCCAGGCCAGGCTGCGTGTCCGGTTCACTGATCTCAGGTCAGATCGGATTAAGCACGGGGCTCATCCCCGTGGACTGAGAATCACCTTCTCTCTTTTTTAAGATTTTATTTATTCCTGAGAGACAGAGAGAGAGAGACAGAGACCCAGGCAGAGGGAGAAGCAGGCTCCCTGCGGGGAGATGATGTGGGACTCGATCCCAGCACCCTGGGGTCATGACCTGAGCCCAAGACAGATGCTCAACCACTGAGCCCCCCAGGCGCCCCGGAATTAGCTTCTCATTTACGTGCCATTACTTGGCAGTGAGGAGCTCCAGCAGAGAGGAGCAGGTGCGATCGGGTGGACCGGCGGGTGCGGGGTCTGTGCCTCGGCTCCATCTGGTGATGTTGCTGGACCTTAAGTTCCCCCAAAACCTCCCTTTCAGGCCCAGCCAGTTGTTGCAGTCTGTTCCCCACCCTGCATTAGCTCTTGGCACCTTCTGGTGTCACAGTGGGGAAACTGAGGCAGCCGGGGCAGAGTCACAGCCGGGACCTTGGTCCTTTCTGTGCCTGGTCCTGGGTCCTTGATGTTGGTCTCCGTGGTGGTGACCCTGGGCTCCTGCACTTCTGGCCAGTTTCGGTCGAGGGGACATACTGACCGTCCGGGGCAGAAGGGGGTTGGGGTATGTGTCTCTCACCTCCACCGTCAATGCCCAGCCTGTCCTCAGTGCTGGGGTTTGTGCTGCTTCCAGAAAGAAGCAAATGGCTTGTCCAATCTGGGGGGCCCACGGGTGACTGAGAATGGAGCTGGTGGCGGGCGACTTGTTGGCCAGGGCGCCGTAGGCGGAGGGGGCTCGGGTCAGCTCAGGTGGGAACCGGCCTGAGTGACTTCAAGGGTTAGGGGTGCTGGTGTGGCCAGAGTACAGGGAGCAAGGAATGAGGGATGGAAGGTGAGGGCAGGGGGTGGAGGGGACAGGACTGGGCCTTGCGTGCCCCTGAGGGCTCGGGTTGGACCCTTAGGGCCACAGGCGTCCACCCTGGCTCTCAGCACTCCCAGAAGGCTGAGCTGGGGTGAGAATCGGGGACAAGCCCTTGACCCTCAGATCTGAACAAAAGTCTGAAAACGTCCTGGATTCAACTCCTGGCTCTCCTGATAAACTACTCAGGGACCTGCACGTGTTACCTCCCCTCTCTGCACTCAGTTTCCCCACCTGTGACCGCAGATGAGGTTTAGCAACAGCATTGCCCTCAATGGGATGCTGAGATGATTAACCAGCGCTGTGCGCACGACGTGCCTGGGCCCGGGGGGTTCCCTGTCGGCAGCCTCACGTCGCCCATATTATCCCTCTAAGGTGCGCAGGTCTGTAGTGATGCCTCCTTCCCATTCTTGACATCGGTCATTTATGGGGCTTTCTCATTGTTTTCTGATCATTCCAGCTTGAGCTTTATCAAATTTGTTGATCTTTTTAAAGTACCAGCTTTGGGGGGAGGGGCTTTGTTGATTCTACGGTTTCCTCCCTCATCCATTTCTTCTTCTTTTTTTTTTTTTTTGAGATTTTATTTATTTATTCATGAGAGACAGAGAGAGAGGCAGAGACACAGGCAGAGGGAGAAGCAGGCTCCATGCAGGGAGGCCGACGTGGGACCTGGATCCCGGGATCAGGATCATGCCCTGGGCCGAAGGCAGAGGCTCAACCCCTGAGCCACCCAGGTGCCCCTTTTTTTAGCTTCTTAAGGTGGAACCTGAGGTCACTGACTTTAGGATCTTTTTTTCTTCTTTTCTAATATAAACATTTCAGACTCCTGTTATAACCTTATAATATTTTGTTTAAAAAGTCAAAAAATTATACATTGTATTAAGATTACATTGAGGAGCTAAGTGCAGGGCATGCAAATTTTAGCTCAATAAAGTTGTTAAAAACTCCAGTAAAAGTGGCCTGCGGACACAGCCTGCCGACACATGAAGGGAGAAGAATTTGCTTTCTGCCCTGCCAAGTGTCCCTGAGCCCCTTCCTAGAGCCTGGCACGGCGGTTGCCTTTAGGGCCCGCAGGGAAATAAACTCTACTTTGCGAGGAAATCTCTGTTGGCTTCTGGGAGGCGGTGGGTTGTCCGGGAGGACTGCCATCTTCGCTTGTGCCCAGGGCCTTTGCACAGCTGTTCCCTGTTCACCAAGTGCTCTTCCTTCACCTTCTCAATCCTGTGACCTGTCCTCCTGCCCTGCACTGCCGTCACGGGCTCCCAGCCGGGCTCTGTGTTTCTAGCATGTTTAACACCTTCTCATATAGTCTGTGCGCATCGGTTAATTCATTGTTTATTTCCTTTGTCCCCTCCTGAAAATGTCCCCCCGTCTGTGTATTCCTGTTGTGTCCCTGCCAACCCACACAGAACCTCGTACACAGTAGGTGCTCAATCAGTGCCTATTGGATGAAGGAGGGAGGCCGGCAGGAAAGGAAGCGGGCAGACGGGCACGCTCACCGAGCGGCCTTGCACTGCAGCTCAGTTTTTCCGGCTGTAGAAATGGGCCACGCTGCCCGTGACCTCAGCCGTCCCTCCTGCCACAGGGCTGCAGGTGTCGTGTTGTGACTTCAGCTCCCTGGAGCCTCCTGCGGCCCCGGCTGCCCAGGTTGGCAGCTCCCAGGGGACCCGCTCTGCTGACACCGGATTCTTTCCTGGGCCGACACTCGATCCTGGCCCCGCTTCCAGGCCGGCGGCCGCCGACCAGCCCACAAGGGCCAGGGCCCCAAGGCTTGGTGCTGAGGGACAAGGGACGGTCTGTGCGTCCCCAGGGGGCGTGGGGAGGCCAGGCCTCTGCCAACAGCAGCACTGGCTGCGAGGACCCGCGGCCAGAGCCGCCGCCACCGCCCGCCAGGGACAGCAGCAGGCCCGGTGCCCCTGGCCCCGCTCCTCGCCATGGGGACCTTGGGAGCCAACCCGGCCCCGCGGCTGAGCGCGGCCCCCCAGAGTCCGGAGACCAACCCGAGGCAGCCCTGCGGGGCGGCCCCCTTGGAGAGCGGTAGGCGCCAGCGGGGAGCAGAGGGGCTGTGCTGTGGGCTCCGGTCCCGTCCCCCCCCAGGGCCCCTGTGGCCCCTGGAATGTTCTGGGAGCCCCGTGGGGGGGGGCAGCTCTGGCAATCCCTGCCTGCCCCAGGCCTCACTTTTCCTCCCAGAAATGAAGCCACATTTCGGGGGCTCCTGCGCATGGCTGCAGCCAACCCAGAGTGAGCCCTTTGGGGCCCCTCACGCTGCGGGGGGTACAGCCCCGGGAGAACGGCGGGAAGAGCAGGGCCAGCGGGGCCTGGGCGCTCTGGAGGTTCCGGGCTGGGAGTCCTCCGTGGGCCTGGCCGGGCCACCGTGTGTGTGCGGCAGGACGTGGGCCCCACCGCCTGACGCTCCTGCTGGGGCCACCTGACGCTGCAGCTGTGTCCACGCATCCCTGTCTGCACCTCGGTTCCCCCCTGTGTCTGTGCCTTGGTTTCCCCCTGTGTCTGGGCCGCGGTCCCCCCCCCCCCCCGTGTCTGGGCCTTGGTCCCCCCCCATGTCTGGGCCTCGGTTCCCTCCGTGTCTGCACCTTGGTTCCACCATGTGTCTGGGCCTCAGTTTCTTGCCTGTGTCTGCACCTCAGTTCCCCCCACCCCGTGTCTGGGCCTCGGTTCCCCCCCCCCGTGTCCGTGCCTCAGTTTCCCCACCTGTGTCTGGGCCTCAGTTTCTCCACCTGTGTCTGTGCCTCAGTTTCCCCAATGTGCCCCAGCACAGGAGGAGCCTGTTGGCTCAGCAGCCCCTCCTACCTTTGACTCAGGTGTGACTCACAATGCCCTTCCCTCCCTCTCCCACCCCACCCCTGCCCTGGAGGATGGTGGGCGGCCCAGACTGGGGCTCAGGGGCTGGACCCCGGGGTCCCCCCAAGGCGTCAGAGTGCAGGGCCCCAGGCCGTGACCTGAGGGCTTTGGTCACAGGCTCTGGGCCCGGCTTGTACGTCCTGCCATCCACTGTGGGCTTCCTCAACCACGATTGCACCAGGGCGGTCAGCCCGGCCTACTCCCTCTTCTGGAGGCCCGGCCCCGGTAAGGCTGCCATGGGTGGGGGTGGGGGCCTGGGGGGTGAGGGTGGGGGGCTGGGGGTGGGGGTGGGGGCCTGGGAAGTGGGAGTGGGGGCTTGGGGGGTGAGGGTGGAGGCCTGGGGGATGGGGGTGGGGGCCTGGACGGGGTGGGAGTGGGGGCTTGAGGGGTGAGGATGAGGGCTTGGGGGGGGGCCTGGAGGGGGTCAGGGGGGCCTGGAGGGAGTGGGGGGTAGGAGTGGGGGCCTGGGGAGTGAGGATGGGGGCCTGGGGAGTGAGGATGGGGGCCTGGAGGGTGGGGATGGGGGCCTGGAGGGTGAGGATGGGGGCCTGGGAGGTGGGGGTGGGAGTCTGGAGGGTGGGGATGGGGGCCTGGAGGGTGAGGATGGGGGCCTGGGAGGTGGGGGTGGGAGTCTGGAGGGGTGGGATGGGGCCTGGAGGTGGGGGCGCCCCCTGAGGCCCCCCCACCGGCCTGCACAGTGACCCTGGGGGCCACTGTCCTCAGTGTCCTGGGAACACAGATGCTCAGGGCCCGAGCTGTGCTCTGGGTCTGGTGGCTTCTGCTGCTTGACTCCACACGGGCTGCTCAGCTGCCCTGTGCCTCAGTTTCCCCCTCTGCAAACACTGACAGTTTACTCCTTTCCGAGCTGTCAGACGGGTGCCCGGTGACTTCAGGGAGCGGGGTGAGCGCCTTCCAAGGGCTACCGCCTCCGTGGTGCGGGGTCTGTGCCCAGTGAAAGGGGATCCTCGGAGGTCCCCCCTCAGTTTCTCTGTCTGCATGATGGGGCCCCTCACAGACAGTCGTGGAGGGGCGGGGTGACCGTTTCTGTGGCGTGGCCAGGCAGCGGCAGCGGCCTCGCTTCAGTGTCGCCCAGCTACCTCCTGGCGGCAGGGCGGCAGCAGGCTGTGAGTGACCAGGGGTGCCGCCCCGCAGGCCGCCCAGGCCCCCCAGCGCTGTTGCCGTCGCGCTCTGGCGGCGCTGGACCCTTCACGTCAGTGCCCACACGGTCCGTCTCCCTGTTTTCTGGAGCTGCTCTGACGCCCCCCGCGGGCCCAGGTCGGGAGGGTCCCGCACGGAGGCTCTGATGCATGGGACAGGGGTCCGGACAGTGGGGGGCAGCCCAGGGAAGACTTCCTGGAGGTGGGGGCATGCAGTCTGGGCTTCGTGGGATGAGACGGGGTTCAGACGAGCCCCCGGGAGACACAGGACTCGGGGGAAGCGGGCAGCCGGGGCGCGGGCCTTGCGGCGGGAGGCGTGAGCTGGGACGTGTCTCACAGCAATGCGCACGGCTAGTACGTGTCCCACGTGCGCACACACAGGTGCACGCGTGTTTGTGGCCCACGCGTCACCCGGGCCCCCGGAGGCGTGCCCCCCTCGAGTCTTGCCAGCCGTGCGATTCTCACCAGCCGTGAGCTGGCTTGCGAGTCCGTGGCAGAAGAGAGGTGGAGCGGGGAGCAGCCGGAGGTCCTGCCCTCCAGGGTGGGGCTGGGGCCGTCTGGAGGGCGGGAGAGCCTTGAGGTTGACCTGGGCACTGAGTGGGGTCAACAGGGCCACGGGAGGTGCCCTCAGGACCCGGGGCTCCTCCCCCCAGCCTCCCCACAGGACACCAGCCCCGGGCCCGTCTACTTCCTGGACCCAAAAGTCACCCGGTTTGGCCGAAGCTGCACCCCTGCCTACTCCATGCAGGGCCGGGGCAAGTCTCGGGGTGAGTATGTGACCAGCGCTGCCCCACAAGGACCCAGACCCTTTCACCTGCCTCTGTCCTCTCCGTCCCCTCCCACCACCTGGTTCTTGGAAGGTCAGTGTCTTTGGAATGACAAAATCCGAGGGCTCCGAGGAGGGGCTGGTGGCCCGAGGGAGCCTGAGTGTGCGCAGTGGGCCAGGGTGACGGTGACCTGTGCACATGTGGCGCCGTGAGGGCAGCTGGGGCTCATCTTGGCCTCAGGGGACGACAGGGCAGAGTGGGGACTGTGGCGAACACGGCAATCCCCTTCACAGGCTCCAAACAACTCATTTCCACCCGACGTGCCTGAACGACCGGATCCATCTCCCATCCATCCACCCTTCCGTATTTTGACCTATCACCCATTTGCTCATCCACTCAGTGATCCACCCATCCATCCATCTGTCCATCCGTCCATCCATCTACTCACCAACTTACCCAACCATCTACCTGTTCATCATCCACTCCACCTATTGATCCACTAATTCATCCATCAATCTATATTATCCATGCATCCACCCACCCAGTCATCCATCCATCATCCATTCTTCCATGATCCATCCATTCACCCACCTAGTCAACCATCCGTCCGTCCGTCCATCTACCCACCCACCCCATCATCCATCCATCATCCATCCATCCATCCATCCATCCATCCATTCTTCCACAACTCACCTACTGACCCATCTATCTACATATCCATGGATCCATTCGTCTACTCACTCGCTCCTTACCCAACCACTCACGACCCATCCTTCTACTCACGCATCCTTTCAAACACGCATTACGCTGGAGAGATGAAGTAGATTTGACGCACCCTTGCTTTTTGTAAGACCCCAGTCTGGTGGTGGGGTTAGGTCCAGGTGGAGACCTCACTGTGCCCATGTCTAGAGGAGAAGACCCAAGCCTGGGGGTCCTTGGAAGGGCCGTGAGAGCTCTGCCTAGGAGGAGGGGGTGGGAAAGGCATCAAGCCCACGTCGGGCTCACACACTGGGTGTGGAGGCTGCTTAAGATTCTCTCTCTCCCTCTCCCCCACCCCCTCTGAGAGAGAGAGGGAGAGCGAACACGGACTACCGTGCAGGGAGGTCTGGGAGCAGGGGAGATACCTCAGGGCTGCGTGAGGCGTGGGGTGAGCTCCAGGATGCAGGAGGGCAGTGGGAGGCCACACAAGGTCTTCTAGCCGGTGAGGACCCTGCCGACCCTCGCGTCCCACTCTCACAGGTCTGGAGGTGACACCAGGCCCTGGGGCCTACAGCCCAGAGAAGGTGGCCCCTGTGCGCCAGCGGACGCCCCCGGCCTTCACTCTGGGCTCCCGCCTGCGCCCGCAGCTCCAGGACACCTCCGCGCCGGCCCCCAACACCTACACGCTGCCCTCCCTCTGGGGCTCCCAGATACTCACCAAGCCCAGCAGCCCCAGCTACACGGCGGCGGGCCGCACGCCCCCCGCCCGCCCCCCTCAGGACCCTGCTGAGATACCAGGCCCGGGCCAGTACGAAAGCCCAGACCCCAACACCTACCGTCAGCGGCGGCCCGCCTTCACCATGCTGGGCCGGCCCCGTGCCCCCCGCCCCCCAGAGGAGACTCCTGGACCGGGCACCCACAGACCTGAGCAGGTCACCGTGACCAAAGCCAGGGCCCCGGCCTTCACCATGGGCATCCGCCACTCCACACGGGCTGCCACCATGCCTGTGGACACCGCACCCTGACACCTTTGGGTCTCAGCTGCCCCTGGACCGAGCCTCAGTTTACCTATGTTGCCAAGTGGGGTGCGGGCGGGCCCCTCTGGGGCCAGGCTTTGGCCGGTGGGGGGCTTGGAGAAGTGGGGGACAGGCGTCTCTTTCCTTCCTTTTTTCTGGACTCTGAGGTCCTTCTAGGCCACCTGCTTCCTTTGGTCCCTGGAGGCTGTGACCCCGCGGCCCCGTGCAGGGTGCCCTGCCTTCCAGCGCCCCAGTTTCTTCCCCCTGGTCACACCAGGCCAAGTCGGGCCAGGCAGAGAAAGGGACAACTCCGGCCCTCCCAGCGGCTGGCCCGAGATGCGCTTCCTGTGTCCTAGAACTCGGCGTCTGCCCTGCTAGGGCCTGGGTCCCCAGCACTGCTCGGATTTCTGCTCAACTTGGGCTCTTCCCTGCGTCTCACGGGAGCACAGCTGCCTGCCTGGTCCTGGCCCCAAATCCCTAAATCGGGCTGGAAGCAGCCTGTTTCCCTCGCACTAGCTGCTTGCCGGTGAATAAACCTCCTCTGGCAAGAGCCGTCGGCGTCGCGCACGTGAGCTCATTTAACCCTGAGTCCACGGCAAAGGAAGGAGGCTCAACGCTGCTCTTGAGAGCCAGACCCCCCCGATTCTGCAGCCGCTGGGGGGCCGCATGGGACCAGAGGAGGGATCCGGGGCTGGCAAGGCCAGAGGTAGAGCCAAGGCTTTGAAGTGGGGAAGCCCGGGAGGCTTCTTGGAAGCGGGGACCTTGAAGCTGGGTATTGAGGGGTGGATAAGAGCCTAGTGCGTTCTAACGCCCTTCAGTGGGCGCCCCTGCGCTTCAGCCGCCGCCGAGAAGGATCATCTAAGCTTCACAGCGCGCAGGACACCGTGGATGTTTACCGAGAGAAAATGGGGCTTTGAAGAGATTGGACGTTTGCCCGAGGGCGCACTATGAGCCCTTGTGTCCGTCTGATGCCAGGATTTGAATCTTGGCCATCGGGCTCTGTTCCCGCCATTCTTTCCTGGGGACAGGAAGGAAACACACGGATGGTGTCATGTGACCGAGGCTCCTGTGCGATAAGCACAGGCCTTCTAAACCCCTGACCCAGAAAGACCCTGACCCAGGAGCTTGGGAGGGACAGCCTGCGGCCACCAGGAGGTGGCCCGAGGGGTGGCAGCTCGGCGGCCCCGAGGGGTCCTGAGACGCGTGACCCTTGCTCTGTCACGCTCCCCCAGCCTGGAAATGCCCAACTGGAACATGCAGCCCTTTACCCAACTGGGTGGACACCCCGGGGACCCCTACACACCCCCGCACCCCTCAGGAGAGCCCCAGGCCCTCCCTGCCTGCCCACACGTGTTCAGACCTGCCCAGACACACAGACAAGCTGACTCTCATCCACGGGGTCCACGGGGACATGGGGACACGACACACAAGTCCACAGGGGGCTGCGCCCTCACACCACCCCGCCCCCTGCAGCCCCAAAGGACACGCCCGCCCGCCGTATGCCAGCTCCTCCCGACCCTGCAGATGCTCCAGAGCCCCCGCACCCCCCGCCCCCACTCGGGCAGGCTTGGGGCGGCATCACCGACCCCAGCCCCACCCCGGCGCCGGCCAATCCGCCGCCAGGCCCTCCCCCGCTCCGCCGCGACCGCCAGGCCGTGATCTCATTCCTCAGATTTATCGATCCGGCTCCAGGCAGCCTCGCGCCTCCCTCCCCACCTGCCCGCGCCCGGCCCCCTCCCTTTGTTTCCCGGCAGTCGGCCGCACCCCAGGCGGGGGAGGGAGGGGGGACCTGTCGGGCCGAGCGTGGGGGGGGGGCTGGGCCCTCCATCCCAGGCATCAGGAATGCACCTGCGAGGTGTGGGTGTGGGTCGCAGCGGGAGGGCGAGGCCCGAGAGCTCCCCAGAGCTGGCGGGGGCGCCCCGGCCCTCCTGCAGCCCGGGATCCGAAGCCCCGGGAAGAGCAGCAGCAGCAGCAGCAGCAGGGGAGGGGGGCGCGGCTGCAGCTTCGCCCCGAGTCCCAGCCAGCCCGCCCCCGCTGCCGGGTACCAGCCTCCCTCGCGCGCCCCCCCCCCCCGGCCTCAGTTTCCCCATCCGCAACGGGCAGGGCGCACTCCGCCCCCGGGGCACGCTGCGGAGGGAGGGGCCTGCCCTGCTCACACCCCCTTTCCAGGCCTCGCTCTTCGGCTCAGTCGAAAACGGGCGAAGGCAGGTGATGTCTCCCCCCTCCCCCCCTCCCCCCTCCCCCATCCCCCCCCCCGTCCTTCCAGGAATTCGGGCGACGCGCGGGGCTCGGGCTGCAACCTCGCTGCGCCCCGGGCGGGCCTCAGTTTCCCCAGCCGCCCCGGGGCCCGGGTCCCAGGGGCGCAGCCCCCCGCGGCTGCGCGCTGGGCCGGGCGGATGACATCACCGGGCCGGGGGCGGGGAGGGAGCGGGAGGGAGCGCCCGGGGAGGGCCGCGGAGGGCCGGGGAGGGCCGCCTCCGCGCCAGGCGCAGCGCCCGGGCGGGCTGGGTCGGCGGCCGCGGCCATGACGCAGGGTCCGGGCGGGCGCACGCCCCCCGCGCCCCCCGCGCCCCCGGAGCCCGAGGCGCCCACCACCTTCTGCGCGCTGCTGCCGCGGATGCCGCAGTGGAAGTTCGCCGCCCCCGCGGGCTTCCTGGGCCGGGGCCCGGCGGCGGCGCGCACGGCCGGGGGCGCGGGGGGCGCGGGGGGCGCGGGGGGCGCCGACCCGCAGCCCGAGGAGGCCGCGCCCGGGGGCGTCCCCGCGCTGGCGGCCGCGGTCCTGGGCGCCTGCGAGCCCCGCTGCGCCGCGCCGTGTCCGCTGCCCGCGCTCAGCCGCTGCCGGGCCGCAGGGGCGCGGGGGCCGCGGGGCGCGCGTGGGGGCGCGGGGCCCCCGGACGCCGCCGCCGCCGCCGCCGCCGAGTGGATCCGCAAGGGCAGCTTCATCCACAAGCCGGCGCACGGCTGGCTGCACCCCGACGCCAGGGTCCTGGGGCCCGGGGTCTCCTACATCGTGCGGGTGAGTGCGGCGGCGGGCATCCCCGGGCTCCCTCCCGCACTCCCGGCCCGGGCGCCCTCCCCATCCTCGCTGCTCCCCCGCCCCCCGGGATGCCCGGGCCCCCACCTCCAGCCTGCGCAGCGCCGGCCGCCCCCAGCCCCGAGGCGCGGGGGTCACGGTTCCCACGGCGTCACGTGGGGAGGGCGGGGAGAGGCGGCAGGTGGGTGGGGGGCGCGCATGCGCAGCGCGGACCCGCGGCTCGGCCCGGGCGCGCGGGGTGGGGGGGGCGCATCCCGACGCCCGGACTGGGGGCCTCGGCCGAGGTGGGGCGCGCAGGCCGGGGCCGCCCTGGAGAGGCCCGGGCGCGGAGCGGGGGCGAGGGGCCTGCCGTGCGCTTCCTCTTCCTCGGGGGCAGTCGGACCAATAGAACAGGTGTCACCTGTACGGGCGACTCTAAACCCTCTAAACCGTTACCTTCTCCACTCGAACACCCCCCCTCCCGTGTGCGTGGGTTCAGGTGCCGGTGCGCGTCCCAGGGCGCCCGTCCTCCCGCACCTGCAGCTCACTGCTCCGTCGGAGGACCCGCCCGCGACACCTGTCATCCAGCCTCTGGACGCATGCACACCCCTCGGGGGCCTCTGGGGCCAGGACCTTGGAAGTTACCATGTTTGCACTTGGTTATGTGTGTGTGTTCCCTGCACGAGTGTCCCAGACACGTCGTGTCCTTCCTCCCCCAGAGCTGGGTTCTGTGCTTTCCCGGCTGGATTCACGTCCAGGGGGGCCTGAGGATGGAGTCTTAGTTAGAAATAAGGTCTTGGGGATCCCTGGGTGGCTCAGCGGTTTAGCGCCTGCCTTTGGCCTAGAGCATGATCCTGGAGTCCCGGGATCGAATCCCACGTCGGGCTCCCTGCATGGAGCCTGCTTGTCCCTCTGCCTGTGTCTCTGCCTCTCTCTCTCTCTGACTATCCTAAGTAAATAAAAAAAATATTTATTTATTTGTTTATGATAGATACAGAGAAAGAGAGAGAGGCAGAGACACAGGCAGAGGGACAAGCAGGCTCCATGCACCCGGAGCCCGATGTGGGATTCGATCCCGGGGTCTCCAGGATCGCGCCCTGGGCCAAAGGCAGGCGCCAAACCGCTGCGCCACCCAGGGATCCCCAAATAAATAAATAATAAAAAAAAAAAAGAAAGAAATAGGATCTTGGAGAAGTAATCAAGTTAAAGTGAGGTCGTCCCGGAGTCCGGTGGCCCTAATGCAATGGCTGCTGTCTTTTCTGTTTTGGTTTTTTGAGAAAAGTTATTTATTTATTTATAAAGGTTTTATTTATTTATTCATGAGAGACACACACATAGCGAGAGAGACACAGGCAGAGAGACAAGCAGGCTTCATGCAGGGAGCCCAAGGCGGGACTCGATCCTGGGTCTCCAGGGTCACGGCCTGGGCTGAGGGCGGCGCTAAACCGCTGAGCCACCCGGGGCTGCCCAGAGTGGGGTCTTTTAAACCCTGGCTGGGCTCAGGATGGGCTTTGTAGCAAGAGTGCATCGTGGATGCTGCTGTGAACCTTGCAGGGCGAGCCCTAGCTGCCCGTTGGCCTGGGTGCAGGCGCGCCAGAATTGTCCAGAATTGAGATGCTTAGGTTGTGGGGTGCAGGCTGTTGGGTTATTCCAGTGATCGTTACTTTTTTGGTCAATGCAGCCAATATCTAGTGCATGCCCACCCTGCCAGGCGCTGACGACCGGGTAGGAAATGAGAAGGTCTGGTCCCTGCTTTTATAGGGCTTAGATTCTGGAGGGAAGCATCGACGGTAAATAAATAAGAGAACAAATAAATGGTGGATATTGGCAGGCGCTAAATCAAAATGCAGAAATTAAAGTGATGGGATGAGCGCTGGGTGTTATTCTATATGTTGGCAAATTGAACACCAATAAAAAATAAATTAAAAAAAAAGAAATTAAAGTGATGCCAGAGTTAGAGACTGGGGGGTTACTTAAGCCGGGGAAGTCGGGGAAGGCATCCCTCAGGAGATGACATTTAAGCTGAGAGCTGAAGCCATGAGGCCCCAGACGTGAGACAACTGGGGAAAGAGAGGTCCGGGTGGGGGCATAGCATGCGCAAAGGCCCAGTGGCAGGGGATGAGCTTGGCATGTTTGGATTACGGGACCCATGTGTCGAACTTATGACCAGTCCTGCCCACATCTGGATTTAGCCCCGGGAGGCCCATGGGGGGCTCCTGACCCCAGAACTAAGGGGGTACATTGGTGTCACACGTGGGTAATTTGTGGAAGTGGCGAGGGGAAGCTGACACCGGCGGGCGCGCCCACGGACTTCGCAGCCCCTGGACTGATCCCTGTTGTGGGTGAGAGGGCGGCGCCCAGGCCAGCAGAGGTGGACGCGCATCACAGGTCAGCGTGGACGGTCCCCATGGCCCGGGGCCCACCCATCTCCCAGGATCCCTCTCCCACCCGGACTCGCAGCCTCCAGGTGAAGGGAGGCCATTGTCTCATGTGAGAAGAGACCCCGGGGGCAGCCGTGTGGCCGCGTAACCCAGCAGCCCTATGACCTCGGTGTGGATCCGGGCTCTCCCCATCCACATTGGGGTGAAGAGTGTCCCCCCCAAATCTGCACCCGCCTGGAACCTCAGAACGTGATGGGTCCGGAAATGGGGTCTTTGCAGATGTAATGAATTAAGGGGAGACGAGGTCAGGCTGGAGGACAAGACCCGAATCCAGTGTGTCCCTCGAAGCTGCGTGAGGACACGGAGCAGAGGGCGGGAGGACAAAGCGAGCTGGCTGCATGTGGGGGACTGCGGGGACCTCCCTGGAGCCTTGG